AGTAATCTAACAAGAATATATTTGTGTGTGTGTGTGTATATATATCTATAGATATATAGATATATATATGGAGATTCCAGGGTCAAGACAAGAAAAATAATCATCCTTTAGAACAAATCCTTAGAATCTAAGTTCTTCGATTCAAAACTTAGAAAAAACTAAGCAAAGATGCACTAGTTTGGTTGGGAGTCAGAAATGTATGTATGTCTCCTGGGCCAGGCTGAGCAATTTAGTTAACTAGGTAAACTTGGGGAAAGATTTAGAGTCCATTAACTTCAGATTTTTTCCACCTGCAAAACTAGCACTAAAAATACTCTGCCAATGTCACAGGACTAAAACTAGAACCCAATTTTGATTCATTCACTGAACTAAGCACCCGCTGCACAATACACACGGCAAGGGCTACCAAGTTTAGCAAACAAAACTACAATACAGAACATACTTATAAAATAAAAAATTAGGCCAGGTGTAATGGCTCATGCCCATAATCCCAACACTTTAGGAGGCCAAAGCGGGTAGATCACTTGAGGTCAGGAGTTCGAGTCCAGCCTGGCCAACATAGTGAAAACCCATCTCTACTAAAAACACACAAATTAGCTGGGTGTGGTAGGAGGCTGAGACAGGAGAATCGCTTGAACCAGAGAGGCAGAGGTTGCAGTGAGCCAAGATTGGGCCACTGCACTCCAGCCTGGGTGACATAGTGAGACTCTGTCTCAAAAAAAAAAATAAAATAAAAAAAAAAACATTCATTGTTTATCAGAAATACAAACTTAATTGAGCATGCTGTACTTTATCTGGGAACCCTAACTGGGGCACATACAAAAATACAAATAAGACATGCTTCTTATCCTCAAAGACTTACATAGGCATGAGGGATATGAAATGTATACATGAACTGCTATACAAGGAAGAAAAGTAGTTACTTAGCATTTAAAGAGGAAAGGGGAAGAAAAGACAAATTGAGAACATAGTAAGTAGGATTGAAGAATGGTTAAAATCAACAAATGCAAGATTCAAAACAGAAAAAACAATGGGAGATGAGAGTGCTTAATTACATCCTCAATTCTAGCGACACAGACCTGTGTATTTACCGCACATGCTGTTCTTCCACCAGTATATGAGATGGCTCAGTAATACAAGTTCTTAAGTCATTTATCATTTATTCACACTCAATGTGAATTACTTCAAATGGACCTGCATTAGCAATCTCTTGACAGACATACACCAAAAAAATCAAATTCATAATTTTCAGAACTACATCCCTTTCAAATCTACCTAGAGTTTTGTGCTTGATTACTCAAAACTATTTTATTAAGCAAATTCTACACTATGTGGATAGGACCAGAGACAGACCAAAATCCTGATAAGGGCTGGGCATGGTGGCTCACACCTATCATCTCAGCACTTTGGGAGGCCAAGGTGGGTGGATCACCTGAGGTCAGGACTTCGAGACCAGCTTGGCCAACATGGAGAAACCTCATCTCTACTAAAAATACAAAAATTAGCCAGGCGTGGTGGCATGTACCTATAACCCCAGCTACTCAGGAGGCTGAGGCAAGAGAATTACTTGAACCCGGGAGGTGGAGGTTGCAGTGAGCTGAGATCGTGCCACTGCACTCCAGCTTGGGCAACAAGAACGAAACTCTGTCTCAAAACAAACAAACAAACAAACAAAAATCTTGACAAGATTTCATCCCTTTTCTCACTTTCTATTGTCCCAAGCAGCTTTTCATAAATCTGCCTCATAATTAAACAGCTCTGTTCCTGACAATCTTTAAATAAATAAATAGGCAGATCCTTTTTAGCTAGATGCAAAAAACTACTTCACTTTACACTTCCTGCTCCAACCCTCTGAACCTGTCTCCTTTCTGAATGCCCAGTTACCATTCTCCATGACACAGGCCAACCCTGATCCTATTCCACAATAGGAAACTTCACATGTCCTTAGAACTTCAAGTTAATAAATAGTAGTAACACAGTATGCTACAGGACTTTGTATAAAAAAGGTGTAGTGGCCAAGCCTGTAATCCCAGTGCTTCGGGAGGCCAAGGCAGGCGGATCACTTAAGGTCAGGAGTTTGAGACCAGTCCGGCCAACAATGGTGAAATCCCATCTCTGCTGAAAATATATAAATCAGCCGGGCATGGTGGTGGGCTCCGGTAGTCCCAGCTACTCAGAAGGCTGAGGCAGGAGAATCACTTGAACCCAGGAGGTGGAGGTTGCAGTGAGCTGGGGTTGCACCACTGTACTCCAGTCTGGACAACAGAGCAAGACTCTGTCTCAAAAATAAATAAATAAATAAAATATAAAAAAGGAGTAGTAATGGAAAAAGCCTATCTATATCATGTATTCTCATTAACTCATTTATCATTATACCTTCATATAATTTTACAGCTGAAAGGGTTCCAGAGCTCATTTGGTCCACGGACTTCCTTTCAAAGGTACTGAAAATTTAGTCATAGTCATTTTGTGCCTAGACTAAATTCACAGGGCAAGCAAAGATCCAGAGTCAGATTTCTTGATTTTCAGTTCACTACTTTTCTTACTAAACCACACTATTATCTATATATATATATTTTTTAACTGAGGCAGAGTCTCACTCTGTTACCCAGGCTGGAGTGCACTGGCATGATCTCAGCCAGCTGCAACCTGTTTCCTGGGCTCAAGTGATTCTTCTGCTTCAGCCTCCCGAGTAGCTGGGATTACAGGTACGCACCACCACACCCGGCTAATTCTTGTATTTTTAGTAGAGATGCGGTTTCACCATGTTGGCCAGGCTGGTCTCTAGCTCCTGACCTCAGGTGATCCGCGCAACTGGGCCTCCCAAAGTGCTGGGATTGCAGGCATGAGCTACCGCGCCTGGCTATTATCTACATATTTTGAGTAACAGTTAAATATTATCTGAATATTAATTCTATTGTATATCTTTCTTTTTGAAAATATAAAGGAATCTAAAACTTAGTTACTTAAACTGTAATTTAAATTATTCACTGTTCCCTCATAATAAAGTAACATAAAATTCAGCTTAATTAAAAAACAAAACAAAAAAGCAGATTCATCTTAATAGTAGTTTGTACTTTTTTTTTTTTTTTGAGATGGAGTCTCGCTCTGTCGCCCAGACTGGAGTGCAGTGGCATGATTTTGGGTCACTGCAACCTCCACCTCCCAGGCTCCAGGGATTCTCCCACCTCAGCTTCATGAGTAGCTGGGATTGCAGGCACCCACCACCACACCTGGCTAATTTTTGTATTTTTAGTAGAGACATGGTTTCACTATGTTGCCCAGCCTGGTCTTGAACTCCTGACCTCAACTGATCCTCCTGCATCAGCCTCCCAAAGTGTTGGGATTACAGGTGTAAGTCACTGCACCCAGCCTAAAAAGTGTTTTAAAGAAATAGAACATATATTAGTAGGCGTGGTGCGGTGACAAGCACCTGTAGTCCCAGCTACTTGGGAGGCTGAGATAGGAAAACTGCTTGAGCCCAGGAGTTCAAGGATGCAGTGAGCTATGATGGCGCCACTGCACTCCAGCCTGCATAATAGAGCAAGACCCTGTCTTTTAAAAAAAAAAAAAAATTAAAAGTTACTCTATTCAATTCCACCGTAATTTTTAATAATTGAAAAGACTTGAAGGCCTTCATGTCCAAAACAATAAACATTACACTGAATTAGAGATAAACATTTCCAATTTTCCTTAACTTTGGCTTAGCCTATCATAAAAAGCCCTACAAGTGATTCAAACTGTTGGACCTAAATAAATGTAATAAGGTTTTAGTAAGGAACAGATAAAATAATCATTTTGTTCATACTAAAATATACCAAATCAATTTTAACCACACAATAAATTCATTGAAATAGCCCAATAAATTTCATGACTAGAAACTTCTATATCTATCAAAAATGATTTTATTTCACTTCCTAGAGGAACCGGTGCTTAAATGGAATTGCTTAATATTTAACTGACAGAGAGCTCATCCTGAGTCCTGACTTAAGTATATTTGGTACTTGAAATTTAACATAAGTAAATAAAAACATGAAGAATGAAAACTCTGGACGTACCATCTCAGATACTGAGCCTATTAAAACATAAAAAGGAAGCATTTTCAGGTGACAGTACATTTATAGGCAAAGGTATTTATATGATTTTTATTGTACAAACATACGGATTAAGCAAGCCAATTCTTCATACCTTTCAACTAAAGAAAAGTAGTTTCATTTTGCCTCCTGAATTCATTTTAGACTCCTTAGTCATTTCTTTTTTTGAGCTGGAGTCTCGTTCTGTCACCCAGGCTGGAGTGCAGTGGCATGATCTCGGCTCACTGCAGCCTCCGCCTCCGAGGTTCAAGCCATTCTCCTGCCTCAGCCTCCCGTGTACCTGGGACTATAGGCACGCACCACCACGTCCAG